GCTTGAGTTGCCTTGCGCAAAAATCCACTACGATGCCCCAGTTTGCCTCTGTTTGCAATTGTTCTTAGAATATTGCGCAACGCTCCAGAAGGCCGCTGATTTCTGATTTACTGCAACAGAGTGCAACAAAGGGGTATGGCAAAGTATTTTCACATATGTATGCATGACTACTCTTCAGGGAGTGTAGTCCTCGATCCTCGTGCCACCAATCACGCATATCGATGCATGATGGCCGAGAAGTCGAATTGCACGACTCAATATGAAATGAATGCACATGAAAACACAACAAGACTTAAACTCCATCATGGGTAATCCAGAGTGTCGGCGACCGGGAATTGAGACACGTTCTGTCACTCGGAGTACGAAACGTCCCTCGTTCCCCGTGCTTGGGCTAACTCTTATCCCAAACATGATGCAAATGAGATGGCATACACAATGCGACTAACATACAACCTAGCATACGCAATGCTATGAAATGGCATACACAATGCTCGATGTAACATGGCATACACAATGCTCTAACATACAACCTAGCACACGCGATGCTAAGGACTGAAATGGCATACACAATGCATGATGGACTTACACCAACATGAGTGGACCTCAGCCACACTCACATCAGTGGCCATTAGATGAAAATGAGACGACCGAAATGCGTGTACATGTGCACGCATCAAATGCCACTCTACCAAAGCATGGCAAGGGATGAAAGATGACCTATGAACATGTAATTTCTAGCACTAAAACACGATGCTAAATGGTCCCGAAACATGGAAATATGGCACCCGATGCATGGAATAAGCCCCGAAACTCAAAACTAGGCACATCTATTGAACCACAAGTATACAAAGCAAGAATTATTTGATCATGAAGTCAAAAGACAGAGCCAAGGCAGTCCCAAAACATGCACATTTCTAGTTTAGAGCATGGCCAAAAGATGCTAACATGATGGGCTAAAATAGCATGCAACATTGGCTAGCAAACATGGTTTACATGGCATGCACATGAAGCATATGAAATCTAGTCAAACCAGAAAAAATTAGTGAATAAAACATGTCAAAATATGTCCAAATAACCACTGAAATGCAACCAAAATCACTGAAATGCAGCCAATGCATGCAAAAATGAGGGGCTTCTTTGGAGGGCCTTACAAGGGGTTATTAAGCACATACAAGATAGACATGTAACATGGCAAAACCACATTTGGAAATGAGTTATGATAGCCCTAAAACTCACCAAAAATGCCCTGAAATTAACCTAGGAAGCATGCAAATGAAAGACCCTTTGAAAGGCCTTGAGGGGGATTGTTCTACACATGCATCATAGACATAAAATATGGCAAAATGGGCTCCGGATAGAGCTTATGCAGACCATAAAACTCACAAAATGAGGCCTGAAATATGACTTCAATCCATGCAAAATAGAGTCCCTTTGGAAGGCCAACAATGCTAGTAAAGAGAACGAGGGGTGGGAGGGTCACCCCTCTATGATTTTGGGGCTCAAAGACACATCAAGGCCACTGAAAATCCACTGGATTTCAGTGGCTAAGGGGCTAAAACAAAGCCAATGCAAATGCTCATATGCATGGCTCAAAACATGGGGAAATGAAGCATGCAAGGAAGCAAATGACTCCAAACAGAAAAGTGACCTAATCAAACTTAAAGAGGAGGTCAAAAAAAACTTTATTCAGTTTAGGTCGAGGTCCAAAAATGCTCACAAATAGGGCTAATATATCATGCAAAATAAGCCCTAAAAGAGAGATAAAGCATACAAGGGGGTAGGAGACCTCAAACAGAAAAGTACTCTTAAACAAACATGAAGAGGAGCTCAAAATAATACTATTTTCAGTTTACACCAAGGCTCGAAAATGCTTGAAAATGGAGCTAAGGTATAGAGAAAAATAATGCAAAAATGGGAGAAATGAGGACTTACCCTTGTAGCACAGCAATGCAGCCAACCCTGGACCAAGAAAGTGAGCTTTGAACCTCTGAAAATGAGTTCCAAGGTGCTGGAATGGATGGTGGAGGTGTTAGGCATAGAGGTGTAGTGTAAATGGCCAAGAAAATTAGGGTTTGGAGCTTTGGAGAAGAAGACTATGGTGGGTGGAGTGCATGTGTCTTGGCCAAATTTTTCTAACCCTTGCAAAATGGGATGGAGGGTTGGTTATATAGAGGAGAAAAGATAAGGCTTCTTGGAGAAGCCTCAAGAGGGGTTCAAAGCTTCTCAAAGAAGCTAAACCCAAAAGGGTTAAGCTTCTTGAGGAAGCTAGACCAAAAAGGGTCAAGCTTCCTCAAGAAGCTTGACAAAAGAGTCAAGCTTCCCTAAGAAGCTAAGCAAGAGGGTCAAAACCAACTTAAAAAGGTTAACAAAAGACTCAAAATCTCGGACAGTGGGTCAAGTGCTTCACAGCTGGCATAGTTGTATTGCACTTGAGAAGAGCAAAAAGCAGAAAGCTGGCCGACCAGCTGAGGTGGCTGGCCGGCCACTCCCCCTGGTCGGCCGACCAGGGGTCAAAAGGGTCAAGCAAAATTGCTAGTCGGCCTACCCAGAAAGGTGGCCTCCCAGATGAGTAGAATACAGTTGTGTGGTGAAAAACCAGAAAATGTGACTCGGGAGAGAGAAAAATCAGCTTTTTAGAGGGGTTCAAAAGGGTTAAGAGGAAATACTGGTCGGCCTACCCATATTGGTGGCCTCCCAGATGAGCACAACACAATGATGGTGTGAAAAACCAAAAATTGTGGCTCAAAAGTGAGAAAAACCAACTTTCTATCAGAAAAATCGGCTTTTGGAGAGAGAAAATGAGAAAACTGATTTTTCAGGGGAAAATGTAGCTGGCCACCACACTATCCCCTCCCTAACAGTGAAAATAGGGTCCCTACAAAAAATGGACCAAGACGGATGCAAAACGAAGGTTCGGGGGCCAAAACGCGTAGTCCGAGGCCCCGAAAACAGGCTGTTAGGCACTAAAAATGGCGTATGACCACGAAGGTGCTCTCCCGGGCCACAGTGTCCCTCAAAAGGGAGGAAGCAAGGTGTGTGCCAAAAATCAGAGCAAACGGAGGTAGTTAAGCGGTCCCGAACCGAGGCACACGGCCGACGACTCCGAAAACTAAAAACCAAAAACTGGGCTCCAAACGAAAAAAATGGCCTACGACCACGAAACGTGGCCTACGGCCACTGAGAGATGGTCTATGAGACCTCTCCCTCCCTTCAGGAAGAGAAAACAGAGAAAACAGGACCTGGTTCGCAAACCGAGGCAAAGCACAAAAGAGCTCCGAAGTCCGGAGGCAAGGCTCGCAGTCGAGACTCCGCAACCTCAGAACGAGCACAATATGCAACACCACCAAGCGCTCAACTGGTGACGTCTGAGTCTTAAGGTCGGTCAAAATGGGGTGTCTACACCTGCTATCAGCCCTAAGCTAGTAATGCCTTGGGGCCTGCTATTAGCGCCGCTTCCTGCAGAGGGAAAGCTTTTTCCAAAGGCTGCTATCATCTTGGCAGGATGTTCCTTTCGCAAATTGGTTACGGCGACTATAGTTATTGCGGCAATAGTTTCTCGTTGCAAGTTCAAATGGCAAAACCGACAATATTGGAGATAGAGCGCCGACAAATTGTCTCTGTAACTTGAGCTCTGCAAGTAATGCCTCTGCAACTTAGTTACTTTGGTCCTCTCCTTCCCTCAGCAACTCCAGGTTGCAGCGGAATCGACAATACTTGGAATGGCGGCGCTGAACCGTCGCAAGTGTCACCTCTGTAACTTAGTTTCTTCGGCTTTCTCTTTTCCTCAGCCCTCAGTAACTTCAGATGGCGGTGACACTAAGGCAAAGTGCCTCAACAACTTGACCGCTGCAAGTGTTCCCTCCGTAGCTTCACCGTTGCATGTGTTGCCTCTACAACTTAACTTGGGCATTTTCCTTTATGGAGTCCATTTGGACCCTTGGTGGGTCGAACCTGCTTCGGCCCTCTGTTGGGCCACTTCCCTTGGGCTTTAGCCCATGCTCCTTTTTCATTCGAGGTCACCCCATTGGCGCAACCTCAGCACTTAGGCCCATACTTAATTTGGAGCTTAATTTCTGACCCTTTACACACTTTGTATTCGGTTTGTGTCACTCTTTGGCTTGCTGCTTTTGTTGCTTTGCCTTGCTGATTCTTTCAATACACACTTCCAATATTTAGTGGATATAGAGTGAATATTTAATGTTTTGGGAGTAGAATTTGGCTTGCTAATCTTGGTTGCTGCTTCTTTGGATTAGGGTTTATGGAGCAGATTTTTTATAGCCATTTTTGTCCAATATTGAGTGTATATAGAGGGTCAATAAATGAGGTAGGTGGTGAAGAGAAGTAATGAGGTGGGTAAATTGCTTAAATGAAGTAGTTGGAAGGTGGTGTGTGTCATGAGGCATTGACCAAACCTACAACTCGTATGCCACTTCTGATATAAGGTATTGAATTGTCAAATTTGGATTGTACGTTGAATTCACAAATAATTTGGATTGTACAGAGGTATTGAATGGTCACAAATTAATGAGGTATTAAATTTTCATGAGGTATTCAATCAATGAATGGTACATTTATTATTTTATAAATCTTTTGTAATTCTGTTGAATATATATTTGCAAATTCTTTGATAATTCTTTTGTAACTGATTAAGACATGGTAATCAAAACTGAAATTCTTTTGTAATTTAATATATTTGGATATATATAAGAACACACCATCAATAAATTATGAATTGGATAATTAGCACACAACATTTACGAATTGTCAAATCATGAATTGGATAATCAACACACAACATTTATGAATTGTCAAATTTATGAATTGGATTATCAGAACACAACATCAGAACAGAACTTGTCAAGTACTTGGAACATAAAATTAAGAATTGGCAAAATTATGAAGAGCACTAACAACAAACAAACACTGACAACTTTCTTTGCGTAATGACCTCACATTCCAAAAAATAACCAAAAGTACATGTTCACATCCACGTGGTGAATTTAGTTTTCACCGTAAAGATGCCACATATGTTCTATTAAATCATTGCGGAGGGCATGATATGCATTTTTATCTCTAATACCTAAATGACAAGAGAGAAATGATTGGAAGTCATTGTTAGTATTACAGGAAAGTTGTACTGGTGAGTTGGTTGATGAAGTATCATAATCAAAATCAAGATGCTCATCTCTCTCATCTTCGACAATCATATTATGTAATATAATGTAACTTTTCATTATATTTCCAAGCATTTTCGGATCCCAAAAACGTACGGCACCACCTATAATTTCAAATCGGGATTGGAGCACTCCAAATGCCCGCTCTACATCCTTCCTTGTTGACTCTTGCATCATTGCAAAATGTTTCTTCTTTGCTCCTTGGATAGAAGAGATTGTTTGAACTAGTGTTGCCCATTGAGGGTATATACCATCAACAAAGTAATAACCCATATTATAATTGTGTCCATTAATAGTGTAGTGGATAAGGGGAGCTTTACCTTGGGCAAGATCAGAAAACAAGGGCGATCAATCCAACACATTGAAGTCATTGTGTGATCCAGGCATTCCAAAAAATACATGCAAAACCCACAAGTCATAAGAAGCTACTACTTTAAGAATGATGGTTGGCTTTTTCTGATGGCCTACGTATTGACCTTGCCATGCCTTTGGACAATTTTTTCACTCCCAATGCATGCAATCTAAACTTCCCAACATACCCGGAAACCCACGAACCTCCCCAATAGCAAGTAATCTAGCAATGTTAGTTGATGTTGAAGATCTTAGGTATTCTGGTCCAAAGATTTCAATTACTGAATTACAAAAGTATTGCAAACTTTGAATTGCAATGCTTTCCCCAATACGTATATAATCATCAACTACATCTGCTGCCACTCCATATGACAATATTCTCATTGCTAATATCATCTTTTGTAGGGAGACAATCTAAGAATATGAGCTACATCTTGTTTTTGAACAAAATATGGATCGTGCACGTCAATAGCATTCAAAATTCACAGATATAGAGGATGACGCATTCGAAAACGTCTCTGAAATGTTGGAGATGAATAAACTGGATTTGCCGCAAAATAATCAGTGAACAATCGCTCATGACCCTTCCATCTATCGCAACGTGTGTACTTATGTCCTACAATAGAACCACCTCTTTTCTTTGATCGATCAGTTGATTGTAGAATCTGAATCATACTAGTATTATTTATCTCATAAACACCCAAAAGTGTGATCATTTTTTCATCATCAGACTCATTATTAGAGGATGAGGAAGAAGAAGATGATGAAAATGAAGTGAATAGGTAAGAATTTGAGATACCCATTATGCTCTGCTTTCAGTTATGGTGCCTTCCAGATATAATGTACCTTTTGTCTAGTATATGGTACATGGATAATGTGTTATATCAATTCTTGGAAGGAAATCATTATCGGAGGCAACAAAAAATGGAATATATTTAATGGAGGGAAAAAGAAATGGGAAACAGAAATTGAAGGGGAAAAAAAAATTCAATGCCTGACCAGCCGAGGCTTTTGATGCAAGCTATAGTGTCATCGTTGGAGCAACTCATATCAGATTGAGGAACTTACCTTTTTTTTACTCAGATTTGGTGAAAAAATTGGTGAATCCTTGGAGATGCTCTTACACCCATTTTATCACCATCATCTCTCCACCGGTCCACCCATCATCGCCGAACCACCTCCTCCTCTACAAGCCCTTCTTCGGTAACCCCCAACCTAGAACGTCGACGTGACTGAGGTAAGTGGCACTTGCGCAAAGCGCAACTTCAGCGCGAAAAAACTTGTCAGTTTTCAAACCTCCGCTATCGTTAAACTGAATCACGGCGAGGCAGTGCTTGAGACCTAATCACTACCTTCGGCATCCGAACCGGCTTTTGACAAAACCAGGGATAAAGATCTAGCTAGTTCAGCCTTTTGCAAATGAAATCGAAAGGGGAACGAGATGAGAAACTAAGCTTGTAGAGGATGGAGATGACGATATCATCAGGTAAGGAATCAAAGTGATCAAATCTTTCAATGTAAGTCCTTGTCATCTTCTTTCTCTGAAACATTTCTTATTCTTTTGTCTGAGATGTGAAGGTGAATATACAAATTTGTTTAAGGTTAGGATATGTGGATTGAAATTAGGGTTAAGTTTGGGAAAGAAGGAGAACACGTCGCGATGCTGGTGGATTTCCGTGGTGCGAGCGCAGATTTGAAAGTGTTGAAGAAATGGGTGGTGGCTACAGTGGTGAGGCAGCTACGACGGTGAAAATGGTGGTTATAGATAATGGTGGGGCAAAATTAGGGTTAGGGTTTTTTAGGTTTTGAGTGTAAAAAGAAATGAGGAAGATTAGGAATGAGGGTTATATAAGAATTATTATTAAAAAAAAAATTAATAACAAAATTGAATTTTAAAAGTGTAATGAATTAAATTGGTGATGTAAGTAGAATCTCGCATCATAGAATTAAAAAATGGGACCAACACATGGAGTATGTGATTTGTGATTTAAAAGTAAAGTAATGTTATAAATCTCAAAAAATTTAAGGGTTGGTTTGGCATCACCTACAAAAGTTAAAAACTCAAAATATCATTAAAAAAGCAAAAAAGTTTATACTATTTACTTTATTTTGGCGAGAAATCTGTCGGGTAAAAAAAAAAAAAATAGTGCAGTCACAAATTTCCTTAAAAAGAAATAGAAAAAAAAAAGAAAAAGAAAACGTGGCACAATGTAAGCCACAAATTCTCATTTAAAAAAAAAAATTTGAAATGCATGTAAAGTCAGCGTAGTGTTGCTGACTGTGTCAGAAAGGGCAATCCGATAATTTTGATATTTGTTACAATATTTTATTACACATTTTTTCTTAAAAAGTCAAAAAATACACTTATATAGATTATCCCAAACAACAACCAATATTTTATATGGGTGTGAAACCCACACAATATATGAAATTTTTGAGATCTCTAATATTTTTGTTAAAAGTAAACTAGTGCCTAAATTAGGACTCAGTTTGGGATAACTTATAAAAGTTAAAAAATCAAAAAATTACTAAAGAAATTAAAAAATTCATATTATTTGGGGAAAGTTTAGAGGGCAAAATTATTATTTTACCCATTAAATTCAACTACCCAAAAGTCAAAAAGTCAACGAAGGTAGAATAGTCATTTTAATTTTATTACATCTTTTCGTAAATAATTAAAAAATTATCTTAAACACATATTTTTTTCTCTACTTGTTCATCAAAAAGTCAAAAAATACACTTATATAACACATTCATTTGTTTGATTTTCAAATTTTCATATTGCTTTTTAGGCTTTGTTTTTGAAAATGGGGCCAACACATTTTTCACAAGGACAATTTTTAGATGTAAATAAAATTTTACTTTTTAGGTTTTTTTTTTCTCTATTTTTGTTTCTTTTTAACAATGTGATTTTATTGAATATTTTTGTTTTCGGATTTTGTTTACAATTTTTTTTTTTTTTTTAACTATTCAAATTATTTGCATCTAAAAATTTTGTTAAAAAATGAAAAAAATTCAATGCAGGGTAGGATTCTTAAAAAAAAAAAAAAAAATTACAAATAAATAATAAATTTTATAAGTATTAATAATTAAAAGCATAAACTTCCTTATCAATATGTAATAACTTTTTTTTTGACTGTACACTGATTATTTAAAAACACCAGGGTTTGACTACAATATAAAAATGGCGGGGTTTTTGACCCTTAACCCTGAACTTTTTATTTATGGCCGATGAGCTTGGGGGAGGACAGGCCAGTGGTTGTTGTTCCCCTACGAATATACGGCGGGAGGAGTCGTTTGTTTCTTCTATCCTCCAACCAAACAGTATTCCTTAATGGCTGCTCTCTCCCTCCCCACCATAGATTAGGTCTCGCTCTCTCTCTCGCTTCAGGGTACTCTTCCTTCCCTCTTTTCTTTCATTTGTTCCGTACTTGAATTTATATATGTATCTCTGCTCTTGTATTCGTTTAGATTGTACTCAATTTGTCTGAATTTGTACAATTTGTGTTATCTTTGTATTACTACTCTCTATTGATTATCCATTTTTCCATGTCTATTGAATGCGATTCATCTTTTAACTTTCGGACTCTGCAAAGCCCTCTTCTTTTCCTGAAAATTGGTCAAATTTGCGTATATGGATGACCTTGTCCAAGAATATAGACATTTCGGTAGAATGAACTTGTTTGGTTTTGACCACATATTGATTCCTTCCGAATCAGATCACCATGAATTTGGTTTCCTTTCGAATCACCCAAATCCGATTAATTTAGGGCCTCAGGGCAATGTGTACGATGCTGTACTCAAGTACATAACCCAGATGCTTATGGATGATGAGGACTTGGAAACTAGGTCCAGTGTGTTTCAGGATAGCTTGGCTCTCCAACAAGCTGAGAAATCCTTGTATGATCTACTTGGTGAGAAGTACCCCCCTTCCCCAAACCCTAACCCGCCACCTGTTTGTGAAAATGCAGAGAGCCCGGATGATGATTTCATTAGCTCTAGGTGTAGTTGCGTTTCTAATAATAGCTCTGCTAGTGTCAGCAACGTCATTGATTGCAGCCCAATTGGTGATCTGAACAAATTTGGGGGGTCATTGGTTGTCCAGTCTTCTCGTGTTGACAACCACAACTTTGATGCTGTTGATGGGACAGTGGACTCTCTTGTTGATTCATTTCAGGTTTTAGATCCATCTAATGGCAGCCAAGCCATCTCATGGTTCAGGGAAGTGGAAGGGGTAGGGGAAGTTACCCAGATACTCCCAAAGGAGGAGGCTGAGAAGAATCGTCAATCAAGAGGAAAGAAAAGTCATTACCGAGAGGATGGTGATGATTTGGAAGCTGGTCGGAGTAACAAGCAGTTAGCAAGTTATGCTGAAAACTTTGACGAGCAATCTGAGATGTATGACGAGTTGTTGCTTGGTCCTGCTTTGAATCCTCATCTGCACAATGGGTCCTCAGCTTTTCTTTCAGATGAAGCCCCACAGAGTGGAGTGGGCGGAAAGCTGGAGAAGAATGGGCAGGCAACAGGATCAAGTGGACGAAAGCCACATCGAAAGAAAGGCAACAAAAGGGAAGTGGTGGATTTGATGACTCTCCTTACTCAATGTTCACAAGCTATGGCGAGCACTGATAACAGAACTGCTAATGATCTGCTGAAGCAGATCAGGCAACACTCTAGTCCTCGCGGCGATGGTACTGAAAGATTGGCCCATTACATTGCAAATGCCCTTGAGGCACGCTTGGCTGGCACTGGGAGAGCAGTGGATGCACCACATTTGATCAAGAGGTTATCAGCTGCTGATACCTTAAAAGCTTATGAGGCATTTCTTACAGCGTCCCCTTTCCAGAAAGTGTCATTTTTCTTCGGAAATAAATTGATTTTGAAACTAGCTGAGAAAGCAACACAGATTCACATAATTGATTTTGGAATTACACATGGCTTTCAATGGCCCAACCTTATCCAGCATCTCTCTCGGAGACCCGGTGGCCCTCCCAGGGTTCGCATTACAGGAATAGACTTTCCCCAAGCCGGTTTTCGTCCTGAAGAAAGGGCCGAGGAAACTGGACGTCTCCTGGCATATTATTGTGAGAAATTTAATGTCCCATTTGAGTACAATAGTGTAGCAAAGAAATGGGATACTATCCGAGTTGAGGATCTCAAGATTAAGAGAGATGAGGTGCTTGCTGTTAATTGTTTGTACTGGCTGAGGTGTGTCCTGGATGAGACAATAGAGGGCAGTCCACGGGATGCTGTTCTGAACTTAATCAAGAGAACCAATCCAGATTTATTCATCCATGGAATTGTTAATGGAACATACAGTGCCCCCTTCTTTGTCACACGATTCCGGGAAGTACTGTTCCAAGCATATTCAATGTTTGATATGTTTGATGCTGTTTTACCGCGTGACAATCAGGGGAGGATGTTATATGAAAGAGAGGTCTTGGGGGGTGGTACAATGAGTGTCATAGCATGTGAGGGTACTGAGAGGGTTGTAAGGCCAGAGACATATAAGCAGTGGCAAATTCGGAACACGAAGGCTGGGTTGAGGCAGCTCCCACTCGATCCTGAGATTATGGAGGATGTGAGGGCTAAAGTCAGGTTGGGTTACCACAAGGATTTTGTGCTGGATGTGGACGGCAACTGGATGCTGCAGGGATGGAAGGGGCGAATCTCAAGTGCTATCTCCTGTTGGAAACCTGCTCAAGAAATAAAAAACTAGCAATGCTATTGGTTAGAATTGATAAATTATGATGCTCTAGTAATTCAACAATTTGTAAACCTGATAGAGGTACCCACATTTTTTTCAATCATGTATATCTCTGATTTTGTGCATATTTTTGTTATAAAATTTGTTCTACTTTATTTCCATAACTGTATCGCATGTGATATCCAACAGATAAAAATTGAAAAATTAAAAAAAAAAAAAAAAGCTGAGTTTTTGTTGTTCTGACTTGTCTATCATCTGTGGGAACCGCCAATCATCTTTGGAATCTCATCAGCTTGAAGTTTACGGTTTTATCATGAGTTGATATCTTCAACATTGTACTTTTACTATCGTGTTATGAATGTTTTCTTCAAACACTAAAGTCTTATTAACCGGCATCTTGGTGAAGATAAGTTACATTTCACGAAATTTTTAGCTGTTACTGCAGAAATTGAGACGCTATGGGATTCTAATTTCTATGGCAGAAGAAAGTTGTGAAATTAATTAAAAGGGGCAATTACAATCCAGTGGATTGTAGAAAAAATATTTACAGATAAATGGAAAAGTTTATGATTTTAATTATTAATATTTATAAAGTTTATCACTTGTGTGTAATTTTTTTTTTTCTTTTCTAAATTTACATGGAATTGTAATTCCCCCTAATTAAAACCCTTGTGGATTGAGCACTACCTCAACCAGAGCAGATTCCTTTTTGCCAGGGCTCCCACGGTTCTTATTTATTTTACTTTTTTTGGTACCTCTATTTTTCTATCCGCTATCCCTTGGATTATGTATGTATACAAGTGCGACAACTTTGTTTGATATTGATATTGATGTTTTAGTGGTCCTATTTTCTACTTCCTAGTCGTCTTTAGGAACACCATGCCTAAAGTTTATGTTGTTGTCATCACTAGTTAATATCTTGTACATGGATTTTTTTCATTTGTCGACACCAGTTACTATCAGGTCATTTATAAGGATTCTCTCCAAAATCTTAAATGTTAGTTTCCTGTGTCATGTTGAAGTGCAGAAATCTCACATTTGTTACTTTTCACACTGCTGCGTACTGGATGCAATTGTATCGGCTGTGACTTTAATGCCATGGTTCATTTTGCCATCCCAATTGATGGGATTTTAATAAAGAAATTTACAGGGTAGAAGAAAGATCAAAAGCTGGCAAAAATCCTCATGGGGTTGGGTTTTACTGTCAAGAATAGGAAAGGGGAGGGAGGGGTTGAGGAGGGCCTTATAGCCTCGCTCTTGTACCCTCTCTCTTGTGTCGAATAGGTCTCTATAGAGACTGGGATGAGAACTTCTTAGGACAGATTTGGCAGAAAAAACTCGTCTGAGGAGTTATTATTATTATTATTATTATTATAGTTTATCGGCACTCATCTGAGTTCTTTTCAACCTCATCCAAGCAAAACAAAGTCCCCCATTTTTCATTTCCCAGCTCTCTGTATTCAACAATTTAACGATCCCGAGGAAGGCAAGTTTAAGGCTAATGTAGATGTTGCTTTGTTATTATGAACTGCAATGGGAGACTGGTGGTGGGAAAGATTGGCCCATTACATTGCAAATGCCCTTGAGGCACGCTTGGCTGGCACTGGGAGAGCAGTGAATGCACCTCATTTGATCAAGAGGTTATCAGCTGCTGATACCTTAAAAGCTTATGAGGCATTTCTTACAGCGTCCCCTTTCCAGAAGGTGTCATTTTTCTTCGGAAATAAATTGATTTTGAAACTAGCTGAGAAAGCAACACAGATTCACATAATTGATTTTGGAATTACACATGGCTTTCAATGGCCCAACCTTATCCAGCATCTCTCTCGGAGACCCGGTGGCCCTCCTAGGGTTCGCATTACAGGAATAGACTTTCCCCAAGCCGGTTTTCGTCCTGAAGAAAGAGCCGAGGAAACTGGACGTCTCCTGGCATATTATTGTGAGAAATTTAATGTCCCATTTGAGTACAATAGTGTAGCAAAGAAATGGGATACTATCCGAGTTGAGGATCTCAAGATTAAGAGAGATGAGGTGCTTGCTGTTAATTGTTTGTACTGGCTGAGGTGTGTCCTGGATGAGACAATAGAGGGCAGTCCACGGGATGCTGTTCTGAACTTAATCAAGAGAACCAATCCAGATTTATTCATCCATGGAATTGTTAATGGAACATACAGTGCCCCCTTCTTTGTCACACGATTCCGGGAAGTACTGTTCCAAGCATATTCAATGTTTGATATGTTTGATGCTGTTTTACCGCGTGACAATCAGGGGAGGATGTTATATGAAAGAGAGGTCTTGGGGGGTGGTACAATGAGTGTCATAGCATGTGAGGGTACTGAGAGGGTTGTAAGGCCAGAGACATATAAGCAGTGGCAAATTCGGAACACGAAGGCTGGGTTGAGGCAGCTCCCACTCGATCCTGAGATTATGGAGGATGTGAGGGCTAAAGTCAGGTTGGGTTACCACAAGGATTTTGTGCTGGATGTGGACGGCAACTGGATGCTGCAGGGATGGAAGGGGCGAATCTCAAGTGCTATCTCCTGTTGGAAACCTGCTCAAGAAATAAAAAACTAGCAATGCTATTGGTTAGAATTGATAAATTATGATGCTCTAGTAATTCAACAATTTGTAAACCTGATAGAGGTACCCACATTTTTTTCAATCATGTATATCTCTGATTTTGTGCATATTTTTGTTATAAAATTTGTTCTACTTTATTTCCATAACTGTATCGCATGTGATATCCAACAGATAAAAATTGAAAAATTAAAAAAAAAAAAAAAAGGGGTGAATTCAATTACTATCAGGCCATTTATAAGGATTCTCTCCAAAATCTTAGACGTTAGTTTCCTGTGTCATGTTGAAGAGATTTAGTGCAGAAATCTCACATTTGTTACTTTTCACACTGCTGCGTACTGGATGCAATTGTATCGGCTGTGACTTTAATGCCATGGTTCATTTTGCCATCCCAATTGATGGGATTTTAATAAAGAAACTTACAGGGTAGAAGAAAGATCAAAAGCTGGCAAAAATCCTCATGGGATTGAGTTTTACTGTCAAGAATAGGAAAGGGGTGGGAGGGGTTGAGGAGGGCCTTATAGCCTCGCTCTTGTACCCTCTCTCGTGTTGAATAGGTCTCTATTGAGACTGGGATGAGAACTTCATAGGACAGATTTGGCAGAAAAAACTCGTCTGAGGAGTTATTATTATTATTATTATTATTATTATTATAGTTTATCGGCACTCATCTGAGGAGTTCTTTTCAACCTCATCCAAGCAAAACAAAGCCCCCCATTTTTCATTTCCCAGCTCTCTGTATTCAACAATTTAGCGATCCCGAGGAAGGCAAGTTTAAGACTAATGTCGATGTTGCTTTGTTATTATGAACTGCAATGGGAGACTGGTGGTGGGAAAGAACTCCAGGTTTCATTGTGAGTGCTGTTTTTGGCCCTCAACAAGGCAGCTTGGTTTGCACTAAATATTGGCATCTCAATAACTTGTCATTGAATCTGATTAGTCTGAGGTGGTTGCTGAGATTATGAACAAAGTAGCTCTACTTGCTGATGATGATATTGAGCATTGTCCCAATTTGGTTCGCTATTCAAAGATAGCAAACTCTGTTGCTCATCTGACTGCGTCTTCCTTCAATGGATACATCTTGATCGCTGAGGCCATGGGAGATGGTATTGGGGGCGTTTGGTGTGGCTTATTTTGGCCAATTTATAGATTCTAGCTTTAGAAAAGTTATTTTGTACTGTTTCGTTAAATTTATTTTAAATAGTTTCTAATTTTTACAACTTATTTTAACTCAAAAAAATTGATTCTAAGAAGTTACCCACCCCTTACTTCTGATTATCAGCTTCTGCTGTGAACATATTAATTTAAGGTTATACTCTTAGATTTTTTTTATTTTTTATTTTTTAAAAAATAGAAAAAAAACCCAAATGGACTATAGATTATTATTATTTTTTTTTATGAGAAATATACACAAGTAGTGAATAACAAAAAATAAAAGTTAATTCAAAAAACTATTTCACAACTTATTTAACAAATACTACTCAGCAACTTAAATCTATAATCTAACAGCTACACTAAACAGATTAACAATTTCTGATTAAAATCATAATCTATAATCTGTTAAGTTATATAATCTGTTTTGACGACTATACCAAATTAGACCATTATCGTTGCGCCCAGTCTGCCCTTTGTTGTATGGGCCTAAATCAAGTGTGCATTCCAAATGCTGGATCAGGACCCATTTCGTAAGCAGGTCACTGGGCATTTGCCTTGTATTTCTTTTTTATTTTATTTTATTTTATTGTACACTACAAAGTTTCAGAGAGCTGTATATAAATAGACTTTATATTTTGGATTTGTGTAGGAAAAAGAAAATAGAATTATTTATACGTACTCATTTTTTTTATATAGATAACTAAACAAAATAATGGATTTATTTATTTATTTATATCAAAGATAAATTTTTTTCCTTTTTATATAGGTAACTAAATCAAAGATAATAATATTTCATTTTACTTTCATATCTTCTGTTTTTTTTTTTTCCTTCACAAATTGCACATCAAAGCACAACTAAGGTTATAAAATGAAGTAAATTACTCGAGCTCGATTAACTTATTATAAATTTATTTAAAAATGATTTATTATGTAAACAAGTTTAAAAAGCTTCCATACACAAATTGTGACAAATTTAAAGTTTGAAATCGAGAAAACTCTTCAGAGTTGAGTCATTGTTTTTTTTTTTTTTTATGACGAGCCAAGCTTTTGTCGAAGTTTGAATTGATTAGTATGCCATTCCAAATGAGTGTGATCAAATGATTAGTCATTCTTCTTTTGTGGGATTACTTAACAGTTCGACAAACATTAAATCTGAGGTGGTTGCTGAGATTATGAACAAAGTAGCTCTACTTGCTGATGATGATATTGAGCATTGTCCCAATTTGGTTCGCTATTCAAAGATAGCAAACTCTGTTGCTCATCTGACTGCGTCTTCCTTCAATGGATACATCTTGATCGCTGAGGCCATGGGAGATGGTATTGGGGGCGTTTGGTGTGGCTTATTTTGGCCAATTTATAGATTCTAGCTTTAGAAAAGTTATTTTGTACTGTTTCGTTAAATTTATTTTAAATAGTTTCTAATTTTTACAACTTATTTTAACTCAAAAAAATTGATTCTAAGAAGTTACCCACCCCTTACTTCTGATTATCAGCTTCTGCTGTGAACATATTAATTTAAGGTTATACTCTTAGATTTTTTTTATTTTTTATTTTTTAAAAAATAGAAAAAAAACCCAAATGGACTATAGATTATTATTATTTTTTTTTATGAGAAATATACACAAGTAGTGAATAACAAAAAATAAAAGTTAATTCAAAAAACTATTTCACAACTTATTTAACAAATACTACTCAGCAACTTAAATCTATAATCTAACAGCTACACTAAACAGATTAACAATTTCTGATTAAAATCATAATCTATAATCTGTTAAGTTATATAATCTGTTTTGACGACTATACCAAATTAGACCATTATCGTTGCGCCCAGTCTGCCCTTTGTTGTATGGGCCTAAATCAAGTGTGCATTCCAAATGCTGGATCAGGACCCATTTCGTAAGCAGGTCACTGGGCATTTGCCTTGTATTTCTTTTTTATTTTATTTTATTTTATTGTACACTACAAAGTTTCAGAGAGCTATATATAAATAGACTTTATGTTTTGGATTTGTGTAGGAAGAAGAAAATAGAATTATTTATACGTACTCATTTTTTTTATATAGATAACTCAACAAAATAATGGATTTATTTATTTATTTATATCAAAGATAATTTTTTTTCCTTTTTATATAGGTAACTAAATCAAAGATAATAATATTTCATTTTACTTTCATATCTTCTGTTTTTTTTTTTTTTTTTTCCTTCACAAATTGCACATCAAAGCACAACTAAGGTTATAAAATGAAGTAAATTACTCGAGCTCGATTAACTTATTATAAATTTATTTAAAAATGATTTATTATGTAAACAAGTTTAAAAAGCTTCCATACACAAATTGTGACAAATTTAAAGTTTGAAATCGAGAAAACTCTTCAGAGTTGAGTCATTGTTTTCTTTTTTTTTTTTATGACGAGCCAAGCTTTTGTCGAAGTTTGAATTGATTAGTATGCCATTCCAAATGAGTGTGATCAAATGATTAGTCATTCTTCTTTTTTTGGATTACTAAACAGTTCGACAAACATTAAATATATATATATATATACACAAATATGGTGAGTGAGTGCAACTCGTTTTGTAATGAGTACAATTCAAATTTTGTGGAGGTGCAACACCCCTTTTATGTCTGTATTTTTTTTTTTTTTTGTTTTATAACTTACATGTAGGTCTTAATAAGTAGGCTTATCATTCAATAGATTCTATGATAATTAATGGCATTTTTCATAAATCACTATTAAAAATTGTCGGTAATTATTAATTTTCCCCGACAGTTTGAAATTGTCCCAAAAAATGTCACTAATTATAAGTTTTAATGATAGTTTAAAAAAATCGTCACAAAAGAAGTCACTAATTTTCAACTTTCAGCGACAATTTAAAAATTTCATCACAGAAAACGTTAAGTTTTAGCTACAGTTTATGAAAATTGTGACCAAAAAAAAAAAAGTTACTAATTATTAATTTTTAGCAACATATCCAAAAAATCGTTACAAAAAAATATTTTTAACGACAATTTTATTAAGACTTATTTTTAATAGTACTTGATAAGAATTAAATTCAACTATTAAGACTTATTGATAATTTATCTTTTTTTTGGTTACACTGTTGAGTGTCCCCCCTGTCCCCCTTTTCAAATTATAATTTATACCTGTATACTTTAAACTTAGTCTCACTTTTTTTCTTAATTTTTTAATTGTCTCAGTCAACTTTCTAAACTTTGAGTTAAGTTATAATTACGTCCAATTATATAACATTGTTTTAAAAATTGACAAGAGACTAAAGCGGTGGAAGAATTAAAGTACGATTTTACTAAGGGTTAAAGTAGAAGGGACTAAAATAAGATTTTGATACAAATATATGGATATTAAATAATTAATACCATTGCATGGCCGTTCTCTATTAATTTTCAAAACAACATAATATAAATGGATTCAATTACAACTTGATTTTAAATTTAAAAAATTGATTGAGAAAATTAAAAAGTAGAGGAGCAAAGAATTATTAGATGTAAAAAAATAAAAGTTGTAAAGTGAAATTTACCTTCTTTTTCTCTTTCTATTTTTCTTTTTAATTTTTACAGAACCATTCTTCTTCTTTATTTATTTATTTTTTTCTTGATAATGATAAGCATAGAGTTGATTTTTTTTTTTTTTTTCCGTCGATTAGTTGTTGAAATTTAAGGTTCAATTCAACCCTTCAAATTTAAGTTGTGGGCACCACTAATTTGTATTTTTCTTTTTAATTTTTACGGAACCATTCTTCTTCTTTATTTATTTATTTTTTTTTCTTGATAATGATAAGCATAGAGTTGATTTTTTTTTTTTTTTTCCGTCGATTAGTTGTTGAAATTTAAGGTTCAATTCAACCCTTCAAATTTAAGTTGTGGGCACCACTAATTTGATTATTTTTGTTTTATTTGCATACACCTTTTCTTTAAAAACAAAAGACATGATTTTTTTATTAAATAATTATTATTCGCACTCACATTCTCATTAGAGAGA